AACTTCTGAATTGCTAGGAGCTTTTTGCTCTGAGCTCAGTCTGCATAGGATGAAAGGGAATTTTCACCTGGGTGATAAGGAAGGATTAAGCTTGACTACAGGCATCCTGCTATGTATACAAATACATAGATAGATATTCATATAAAGCACAACCACTGCAAAAGCATCCAGTGCAAACAAAATCAATTTACGGAAGTGCTTGCATCAACAGTGAAGATAAAATTGCACAAGTACAGCTAAGTGGTTCTGCATATCTTGAATCTTCTATCTTCATTTTGCTAATTTACAGAGTTGGTATTGTCTGTCTGGGGCATCCTGATGTGTCAAGAGCAAAAAATGGATATTAGAGGTATATGCTCTGAGAAGGAAAGGCAAAGGGAAAGGGAAAGGCACAGGCAAAGGGTAGGAATGAGATTTCCTCTTTAAGACCAAGTCCCTACAATTACAGATTTCCCCACAGTAATGTACTGTAAGTCAAAAGGACTGGAAATGATGAACTGTGAGATCGAATGATTCATGCTATTTGGCACAGACCAAAGCTTTGAGGGTGAATTGAAAATACCCTGTGGCAGCTGGATTTATAAAAACCTCTGGGCCAAATGCTGATCTCACCAATATCAATGACAAAGCCTTCAGATTTTACTGGCAACAAGGTGACACAGCTGTATGCAAAAAAAAAAAAAAAAGTATCACCTACATAGCTTGGTTTGTGTGACAGAAGAATTGTGTGTTTGTCAAGCTCAATGGAAGACTTTTAAAGACAAAGTTGTGTGATAGCCTCCCCCTTATAAAATGTGGGCCTTGTTAGAGCACTTTGCATTCACAGGATGTGATGCATAATATAAGTAGTCTATTTGAATGAATAGGCTTGATTTCTGGTAGTGCTCAGCATTTTTCCTACTGTTCAAGTCAGTGTTAGTTATGTATGTTTTGCTTGAATTACTTTAAATAAGCCAGAACATTGACTAAATACTTTCTTTTTTAAGACACGAAAGAGATTTTTATTTTAACCAAAACAAAACACAGTAAATAAAATCAAGTATTACTTTTTTCCCCATCAGTTTCTGATGGAAAATTCCAGAGGAATTTAGGCTTATAATTGCAAATACTGGAACATGGTTGGGTTTGACTATTTGGATTTTCTTGGATACTATCAGAAAATATGGCACAGATTTTAAAAAGGCAGAATGACTCTAAACAATTATTTAAAGCAGAAACAGAAAGCAGTCAATTGTTATGTAAAATAAACAAAAATCTGTTGATACAGATGTTAAAACACCTCCAAACCAAACATTAAAATAGAAAAGCCTAAAGTATAAATAGAACAGTGTGAATTCACTGAGTTCATTAATGAATCACTTCATGGATTAGGCCTTCATAGATGGAGTGCTCGCATTCAGATGTTTGCTGTGATTTGTCAATGGCCTTGTACTTAATCCTCCTGAACAGGAAATAAGAGTCTTTGCTCCAGGGTCTCCCTGGGGGACCATGGCATGCTCATACTCTGGTCTGAATCATCACAATATAAGATCAGGCTGCTGGGGAATTAATAATGTGGAAGGGGAACACATCTGCCTTTAACCTCTTCAGGTTCTTTTTGTATTCAAATGGCTTTCTCACCCTCTGCCAAAGTGGGGATGCTGTTTTACCGGTGTGTAGAGAAGACAGAGAGGCATGACACATAAACTTCCAGGATGTACATTTGTGGGAACCCTGTCCCCACAACCTTCTAGTTTTAATATCACTGAGGAGTAGAGCAAGCCCCTAAAGGCTGGTGTGTCTCTCCACATCTCAGCATTATATATTTATTTTTGTGATGCTGCAACTCCACAGCAGCTCTCAGTGACTGGATAGGCACAGTAGGCAGTATTTGTGAAAAGATGAGCTGTCCCAAAGGTGCCCTTAGTCGGGTATACCACAGCACAGGTAATGTGCACGAGTATGGGTAGATGAATACAAAGTCTCTGCAGACTTCCATGACATCAAAGACCTGAATATAGAATGTGTCACTTATTTGGTAAGAGGTCATGGTTTGATGTGTGGGAGTATGCCCCACTGAATGGCAGCCACACACACCATCACCACTTCTGCTGCACAACACCATCCACTGCATGCTGCTTATGCATGATGGCCTGTGGCTTATGCAGCATGCATGCTTATGCATGATGGCCTGGATCAACCAATTGCATCTGTTCCACTACCTTAGTGCTGAGAGAGGCCACCATGCAATGCTGGAAATGCATCACAGGTAGGCTGCTGCTGAGGGAGCAGAAGAAGGGAAAGACCTGCAGAAGTTTCATATGTGGTGCATATGATTTTACAGTTCTGAGCATGAGGCTGCATTATTCATGTCTCTGACATGAGGATATGGTGGTTCTTTCCTCTTGAGGGAGAGGTTGGTAAGTTTGTGTTGTATCGTGTTGTCTACCTTCATGGAATTTAGACAGAATTTCCTCTTCTGCAAAGTATTACTCTTGTGTGCTCCTCTCACAGACACTTGTTGGTAAAACAGGGAATCTCAGAAAAATCAAATTCAGGCAGCATCTTGATGCTGGCTAAGAAGCTAGGGCAGACGAGGGATGATGGAGCAGGACGGAGCAGGCACGGGTGTTAGCATATTTAATGTTGTGTTATTGGCTATATTAATGCGCAAATGGGAACACAGTTGCATGTCTGAAGTAAGAAAGAGGAAATGCTCACTGAGTAGGCTCTAATTGTGTACACAGTGCTTGACAGGACACCATGGTTCCTGGGGTGCAATTTGTTAATTCTGGACTGGCATGGCCTCTAGGAGTTTTTTGTGGACATGCCTAGAGAAGTTTCCTCTTGAAATAAATGATTATTCAAGGAAAGGTTTGGAGGGAAAGCATCTTACTTCAGAACGGCTGACAGAGCTGGAGAAAAAAAAAGAAAGACTAATTTTCTAGCATGAAAGCTCTTCCTCAGGTTATCCCTGAGATGCACTGATAACAGAGCAGTTGTTATTGTTTGGAGTGCATAGGTGTCCATGTTTATTGTCATAAACATGACAATGGCTAGTTATACTACATTTTGCAGGTATGATATGTTACCCTGATAAATAACTGCTCTTGTAAATCACACCATCACTGTTTTCAAAGGGCTGCTCTAGAAAATATGCCTGCAATTTTGTATCTAGGAATTGCTCATGTGAGTAAAATGGATCCTGTACTCACCTGCACAGCTACATAACAAGCCAGTGATTCTGTGCTCAGCTCTCAGAGGTAAATTACAGAATATGACTGTATCACTGGGAAACCCTCCCTTATGATGATTTCCCCATCAATACATATGTCATATAATTATGGGAAGTAGTTTGGCAGTGTTTTTAATATATGTGACCATATTCACATGCAGATCTAATATTTTCCATTAGGTGAGAACCCTATGAATCTAGACAATCTGACGCAACTAGGAGTACAACTGCATCACTTTCTGTGATGCAAACCAGAAAGAAAAATGCTTTTCCAGTTAATTTAATATATTTTACAATAGTTTCTGTTTAGAAACTTAGATATTTCAAGGAAGCACATATGTCTATAGGTTTTAATCTCATATACAAATCTAGTATTTGTATATGTACACATATTTCCCTGCAGACCTTCAACAAAACAGAGAAGCTTAGGATCTGAATATAGAACATAAATTAAAATAATCTTAGCATTCATTGTATTACTGAATACTTTACAGGAACACTAAAGTGATCATGCAAAGCTGGTTCAAGCCCTTTTATTTAATAAAATGCACACCTACTGAATTTATCAGCTTTGGATATGGGTTTAAGAACGCACTGGAAGAAAAGCATGCTTCTGAGTTGATATGCTAAAACGTTAGGCAGGCAGGTAGCATGACAGAAAGGTTGTGTCTTTCCCTGTCTTAAGAAGCTTCTTTTGGAGCTTCAACAAAATCACAACAAGCATGCAAGGAAAAGCAAAGCAAAGCAAACTTCCTCTCCTCACCCCAACCCTTTATTTGTTCCGATTACGCGGGGCGGGGGAGGAGGAACGAAGAGGCCCAGTGAATTCCCGGAGCTTTCACTGCACCGATTATGACTCATTATCATTACCGGTAAGTGGGGGTTATCTCCAGAGTCCTCCCTGCGCTCGCCCATTCCCTTTAACCATGCGTGGGGTCGCGCGGTGATCCCCGGCTGCGGCGCGGAAGCTGGGGAAGGCAGAGGGGTGGCGGCAGCGCGCGTCTGCGGTGATGCCCGTGCCCATCCGGCGTCGTCACCGCGCATCGCGGCGGGGCTTGGCCGCCCCCCTTCCTAGTGCAGCCCCTCCGCGGCACCTCTGAGGATGCGCCGCGGCTCCCCTGGCGGGCTGGGCTGCCCGGTGCTCATGGGAGCTCCGCTGCCAAGAGACTGTTTGCGGGGAGCCCCTGCGGGGGTCTTCCGGCGGGCTGGGATGCCGCAGCCTGGCAGAGGGAGGGAGAAGGGGGAATTCGGCCAGCTAGTAGCGGGGGCGCGGAGGAGCCGGGATCCTCCTTGACGTCAAGCGCTAATAAATGCCTGCTCG